ACATGCATAGTACTCCTACTATTGGTGGCAAGAAATATTATGTTACTTTTATTGGTGATTATTCAAAATTCTGTTATGTTTACTTGTTAAATACAAGAGATGAAGCAATGGAAAAATTCAAAGTTTATAAAGCAGAAGTGGAATTGCAAAGTGAGACATTTATCAAATGTCTAAGAACTGATAGAGGTGGGGAATATTATGATCCATCTTACTTTGAATCCACTGGAATTATACATGAGATAACAGCCCCATACACACCACAACAAAATGGTGTGGCAAAACGAAAGAATAAAGTTTTAACTGAAATGGTGAATGCCATGTTATCAAATTCTGGTTTAAGTCTAGGTTTATGGGGTGAAGCATTGCTAACAGCATGCCATATATTGAATAGGGCGCCTACTAAAAATGGCCAAGTTATCCCATATGAACTTTGGAAGAAAAGAAAACCAAACCTTAACTATTTAAGGGTTTGGGGTTGTAGAGCAATTGTAAGAGTACGTGAACCCAAAAGGAAAAAATTAGGTGAAAGAGGAATTGAATGTATATTTTGGGGGTATGCAAAAAATAGTAAGGCATACCGGTTTATGGTCATTGAATCAAATGATTCAATTAATGTCAATACCATAATTGAATCAAAAGATGCTATCTTTGAAGATAGTAGATTTAATTCAATTCCTAGACCTAAAGAAGCAATTGTTGAAAGTTCAGAACAAAGAATAGAAGACAACTTGGAAGAAAACAAGTTGGAAGAAAACATTGAAGTTAAAAGAAGCAAAAGAGCTAGAAAAGCAAGAACATATGGTCCAGAATTTTGCATGTTTCTTATTGAAGGAACAAGAGAAAAGACAAGAAAAGCAACTAAATTTTGTTATAATATAGAAGCTGATCCTGTGACATTTGAAGAAGTAATTAAGTCACAAGATTTAGCTTTTTGGAAGGAAGCCATAGATGAGGAAATGAGTTCCATAATAGGGAATAACACATGGATTTTAGTGGATCTTCCACCAGATTGCAAACCTATAGGTTGCAAATGGATTTTCAAAAAGAAACTAAAAGTTGATGGCACTATAGACAAATTCAAGGCAAGATTAGTGGCAAAAGGCTATTCACAAAAGCATGGTATAGATTATTTTGATACCTATGCTCTAGTAGCAAGGATTGCCACTATAAGAGTATTAATTGCTTTGGCATCAATTGCTTTGGCATCAATTTACAAATTGGTAATTCACCAAATGGATGTTAAAACAGCATTTTTAAATGGTGAATTAGATGAAGAAGTATACATGGAGCAATCAGAAGGGTTTGTGATGCCTGGTCAAGAAAAGAAAGTTTGCAAGCTTA